CAATGTTAAATATTCTCGATATGAGACATTCTCTGTTTTTGTGTTAGTAATCCGAATTTCTTTCTTGAATTGGCAATGAAGAGTTCTGCACAAAGGGTCATAAAACAATTAAGGTTGGTCCAGCGAAATGATGAATTAGTTATCGGCATTTTATCTTTTAATGTTTTACTAATATATATATATATATATATATATATATATATATATATATATATATATAATAAAAGAAAGAACAGTAAGATATATCATCTGGTGTTCTTATAGATGTTTTTATTTTTACAAAATAGTGCTCAATGTAAATTTACAGAGCATTAATATTATAAATTAACTAATTTAAAATATTTTTTTTTGCTATACAGTTCTAACCATGTTTTAAAAATGAAAGCTAAAATCTTCAAATTTAATTTTGTAATTAAATTAAAGACATTAGTTCCATTTCATCTTCAAGCGAATTACAAAAATTAAATTCAAAGTTTTAGCTTCCATTTTTGAAACATGGTTAGAACTGTGTAGCAAAAAAAACATATTTTAAATCAGTTAATTTATAATATATATAAGAGAATGTTTGAGAGTGAAATATATCAAAATCAATAAGCCAAGAAGAATAAGTGCTCAAGCGTAATATCAGTTCCTATAAATGACTGCTATATTCCTTTACAGTAATAGCAAATGCAAACCCACATAAGCACTTAATGTCATAGTTCAGTTAAATTGCAATGTTCCAGATGATAGTACAGGTAATCTTTTTTCAATGAATAATAATCATTTTGCCTGATTCAAATCAATATTAACACTGCTTCCTGTCTGTATTCAATCAAACAGAGAAGGCCAATGATTGGATATGAACAATATCTTTGTTATAAGATTTGGCTTATAAAAAAAATTACATAATTTTAAATTCTATAAGGATTAACATCATTAATCTCGTCTTAGGGTTTCATTCATTTCTATTGATAAAAATAGTGTTTCTTTGGACAGAAAAATTCTAATAATCCTAACATTTCATATTGAATCCTATATATATATAGATGTCAGTCATAATGCTTATAAAATCCACTCACTGAATGGATGCTTCTCTGTACAATATAATCTTAAGTCAAGGGTCAATTGACAATAATCCTCCTTATCCTTCTAATCTTCACTTCCTTCTATCTCCTTTTATATTCATAGTACATGCCTCATTGAGTAACCCTCTACTTTGAGTGCCTCTTGAGCCTTGTATTGGATGAATTTCTTTTATGTTAAAGTAATGTTTCTTTCTTTGAAGAGCAAACTTTAATATGCCTCATATTTTATATTTAATCCAATACATATAGTGATAAGTTGTAATACTTGTAAAATCCAGCCAAATAATTTTTTTTTTAATAATGTTGTTCACTCAGTACAAGGCACAAGAGCCTGTCAGGTAGAAAGTTATAGAGTAAGAGGTACAATTTATGGGGACATGCGGGGAAGATAACGGTTAACCCTAGACCCTTGGGTGTTGGTTTCACAAAGCAGTAGGAAGAAGCTGCTTGATTGAAACTTATATCTCACCAATGAAATACCAAGGGAATGAGTGATTTGCTAAAAGCTATATGACATGGTAGATTTTAGCTGTGAATGTTAGAACTGGTGAAACTAATGAATGTAGTTCATCTGAGCACTTTCCAGGCAAACAGCAATAAAGCAGAAAGAGGCTTATGATATTTTGTCTGTGGGAAATGAGTAGTAGGATGGAAAAACACACACAATGATGTGGAGTTGTTTTTGGAATCTATCAAGAATAGAAAAGTGAAGATTTGGCAGCTCCTTTCCATATACAGCAGCAGTACTCCATTTTAGGTTTGACCTGGCTCTTGTAAAGGAAGAGGATAGCAGGAGGAGTCAGGTACTTACTGAAGGTGGTACAGGGTATTGACTTGAGGTCTGGGCTGAATTTAAGTCCCCATAGGCACTCAAGGCACAGAGCCTCCCTGAGCAAACACCCATTCATCACAATAGGTGAACATTCTAGGTCCGCTTGTTGATGATGGAACTATAGTTTGGTTTTCGAGGCATTGAATGTAACCAGCCATTTGTACCCCCACTATTTGTTGACATACTCATTATTATAGTTACCTGTACTTAATATATTTTTTATTCCATCCATACAGAAGATTTTTGACAGGTAACAAAGAACAAAAAAAAAAGTATTTTTCTTTTAAAAACAAGTCTCACAACCAATCTGTTCATACAAGATTACTCAGCAATCTAATTGTTAAGGGTGGAGGATAACGAAATTGATCTGAGATTTTTCCCCCTCCTTTACTCTTCAGGAAGGCAATCCAAATTCAAGTGATTGATTATTTTAAAAACAGACATGATTCAAGGAGTCCCCAGAGGTGCAGGAAATGGAATAGCAGGTGGCAGAGAAAAAGAAGCAGCAGTTGAAAAAAAACAAAAAAAAAACGAAAAAAAGATCCTCGAGTTATTCAAATGATGGCCTTTGGCCGTTTGTAAAGTTACATGATTCATTACAAATACCTATCAAATAAATTCGATTGACACAAAATGGGTTTTAGGAATTTATTCAAATTTCTAGGTTAAGAATTTTTGCTTGAGACTAACAGCAAAGTTTTGAATTCATTGAGGAGTAAGAGATTTTAGCTCAAAGTCTTCTTTTTTATATGCCAAGTCCTTTCAGTATATAGACGATCATGACTCTCCACAACTTCCTATTCTTTATAGCTTGAAGTAATTTTTTCCCTTTACTCCCCTTTCTAGTTTGACTTCAGTTATATATTTAAACAAGCTTGTTCGGTACAATACTCAATGTTTTCTCTCTTTCACTCAGTAAATTCTACCGATATATCCTCAAGCCTTTTTTCTTCATTTTTTTTGTCTCCTTTTGATTCTAAGTACAAGTGTCTTCAGCATATAAAATAATTATGGAAGACTTAATTCACCTACTCTCTTCTTTAACAAGCATTGCAACATACCAGTGATAAGACATTTTGTCCAGATATTCAAAATATACTTTCAATGAAGGTGATAATCTATAGAAACTGATAAATGCTAGAAAGGGCTCATATTAATGAAAATACTATATTAATAATGGTTAAAGAATAAATTTAACCTATATAAATTAGTAACAGATCCTGGCTTCAAGCAATCGGATGTCTAGCCACACTGATAAGCTGTGATACAGTAAAACAGGCCTGTATGTGGATGACATTATTATGCTCTCCATAATTTTGGTTGAGCACTGTTGAGAGAGAGGGTTATTCTAAACAGCAGCCGTCTTTGCGAATGCAACACTCTTCATTAAATGAATAGAGCACTATGGCAGTCTGGCGTTTATTTACATTTGTAAAAATAATATGCTAGAATTTCTCTTTACCTCTGCCATGTGCTGATAGCTCAGTGGTAGAAACTCTGACTGATGCCAAATCAGTCCAGGTCTTGCTCACAGCTTAAAGCAATCGGATGTCTAGCCACACTGATGATCTGTGATACAGTGAAACAGGCCTGTATGTGGATGCCATTATAAAAATTTCATTCATTAATTTTTAACTCAGTAAATTCTACCCTGTACTAATTTTCACTGAAAAAATTCCATTCAAGTACTTTTTTAAAAAAATAATTAGGCATATAGTATACATATATTACACAAGTAATATTTATTTTTCTTCTTTTATGCACAGTGTTCCTTTAGGATGTTGGCAATCATGGCTCTCCACAACTTCCTGTTTCTTGTAACACTAGGCAATATTAACTCTTTAGTATTCCTCTTTATCACTACTCTACCATTTATTTGCACAAACTAATTAGTTACTTGCTGTTTTCTTCTGTCCCTCTTGTCTTCAATATTTCTTGATGTGTTAAATTTTCCAAGCCCTCTTTCCTCATGTGTCCCAGAAATTTCAACTATCTCTTCCTTATTTGAAGTTAAAGACACTTTTTAGCTTCCCATTCTATTTAAAACTTCAAAAAGGAATAATGAAAATTATAAACAATACCCTTGAAAAATTGCAAGGTAGTTATCATAAACACTCGCTGACGGATGTAGTTTATCGTCATACCCAGGACAGAATTTTTATAGTTGAAATTTTTGGTACATCAATACAAATAGAATAAATACTTTGTAAATGAATGTATTTTTTAAAAAATTATATTACAAATAACTAGACTTTATTTTCATTATTTCATCCCAGGCAAGGTGATAAGGCCACTAAGATGCAATGGATAACAGTGATTGAAAGAAACTGAGAAAACATTAGGACATTAAAAGATCTGAATTCAAGGAGACAGAAGATGGTAGTTGATGTTGCATTTAAATTTTTTCAAATCTATATAAATATAATTGCTAACAGGAAATCTCATTGCATAATGTTTTAATACAAAAAAGAAAAAAAGAATAATGATAATAATAATAATAATAATAATAATAATAATAATAATAATATGGAAACTAAGCCAAAAGCTAAAATTTAATCATGCAAACTTGTGGTACATGCAAACAAAAATATGTCTGAGAGAATGAAAAACTGTAAAAATCCTCTGGGATTTTGTGATTCTGATAGATTCATCAATCCAAGCCGGAAGACCAGTTATTGTAAACAATAAGAAAAAAATTTGTCAACTATTGCATTTTGCTGTTCCAGTGAAACACTGAGTGAAATAGAAAGAAAATAGAAAGGGTGAAAAAATACAAGGAGTTCTGAAAAGTTCTCAGTTCTTCCCAAATATGTATTCTAATATTTGGTTATTCACATGCTGATTTTGGAAAGTGAGTTGGGCTGAGAAACTTTCAGCGTATTTAGATCATGTAAAAAAACTGAAAAATTTTAAAGAACATGAAGGTGACAGTCATGCCTATTGTTGTTGGAGTGTTTTGAATGGTCTCCAAGAGCATGGCAAAAAGATTGGAGGAACTGGAGATCTGAGGAAGACTTGAAACCATCCAGTTGACATCACAGCTGAAAATGATAAGAATATTGTGAAGAAGAGACTTGAATATTGAGGAAACTCTCTGTCACTCAGTATGCAGAGGCACTGAGTGTGAATAGGCAAATGCATGAAGAGGAAGTGAAAAATGAAGAAGATGATGGAGAAAAGAAGAACAAATGAAAAATGAAGAAATGAATGGAAAAAGGAAAACAGGAAAAAGATTGGAAAGAAGAAGAGGAGGAAATGAAAAATGAAAAACGGATAATGAATGGTAAGCAGAAGAAAAAGAAAAAGGAAAGAAAAAGCAGTAAAGAAGAATAAAAGAAAGAAGAAGAAAAATGAAAGAAGAAGGAGGAAAAATGAAGAGAAACAATAGAGAAAAGAAGTGGATGAAAGAAGCAGTAAAGAAGAATAAAAGAAAGAAGAAGAAAAATGAAAGAAGAAGGAGGAAAAATGAAGAGAAACAATAGAGAAAAAGAAGTGGATGAAAGAAGAGTAAAGAAGAATAAAAAGAAGAATAAAAGAAAGAAGAAGAAAAAATGAAGAGAAAGAATAGAGAAAAAATGAAAGAAAGTAAAGAAAGAATAAAAGAAAAGAAGAAGGGAAAAATGAAAAGAACAATAGAGAAAGAAGATGAAAAAAAAAGAAGAAGAAGAAAAATGAAAGAAGAAGGAGGAAAAATGAAGAGAAACAATAGAGAAAAGAAGTGGATGAAAGAAGCAGTAAAGAAGAATAAAAGAAAGAAGAAGAAAAATGAAAGAAGAAGGAGGAAAAATGAAGAGAAACAATAGAGAAAAGAAGTGGATGAAAGAAGCAGTAAAGAAGAATAAAAGAAAGAAGAAGAAAAATGAAAGAAGAAGGAGGAAAAATGAAGAGAAACAATAGAGAAAAGAAGTGGATGAAAGAAGCAGTAAAGAAGAATAAAAGAAAGAAGAAGAAAAATGAAAGAAGGAGGAAAAATGAAGAAGAAGAGAAACAATAGAGAAAAGAAGTGGATGAAAAAGGGATAACAGAGGAAGAAGAATGGAAAGAAGAAGAAGCAGAGAAAGGAAAGAAGAAGACATGGATAAAGAATGGAAAGCAAAAAGAAGAAGAAACGAAAGAAGAAGAAAGGAAAAATGAAGAAGAGAAAGAAATGAAAAATGAAGAAATGGATGAAAAAGGGAAAACTGAAGAATAATAATAGAAAGAAGAGGAGGAAGTGAAAAATGAAGAAGTGGATAAAGAATGGAAAGCAAAAGAAGAAGAAAAAGGAAAGAAGCAAAAAGAAAGAAGAATGGGAAAATGAAGAATAAAGAGAAGAAGAATGATAAATGAAACGAACTATAACTTCAATATGTTTATTATTAGAGAAAGAATATCAATGGCTGAGTGGGGATGATATACTGTCACTTGACAATGACAAACATAAAATTCTTCAATGATAGAAATAAGGAAGATAATTTGAATAAAGTAAGTGTTCAGTTAGAATAAAACCAAATGCATTTTATGACTAATATTTCATTGGCTTGATTTTACTGTTTATTACTGTTACTTAATTAGAATGGTTCTTTCTTCCTATTTTACTGAAGTATACAATTGAATTCTTAAATAATAATATTAATGAGAAGTTACATCATTTTTCTTCTACTCTATAAATAATAAAGACTTAAATATTTACAATCATAGAAAGTATGAAAAGCTCTCAAATTTTACTCAATAAATCAGTTAGAGAAGTAATTAAAAATTATTGAATCTTTTTGTCCTGCAAAGTTGTTTTTCTTTTTTATATTAAGAAACAGAAAATTTACATTAGAAACAAAGAAAAGAGTACTGAACTGTTATGTAATAAAAGTCCTTCTATATAGCAGTGAATGCTGGACAATCTCCTCACAGATGAAGAAAATTGAAGAAACAGAAATGTTGTGAAACTATTTCTTACTGGTAATCATAATAAGGTTTTTTTTTTTTGAATAGGTGTGATATACTCAAAGACCCCTGATAAAAAAGTAAGAAGGGTTAATGAATAAACCCTGTGGAAAAAAATAGAAAATTTTAATTCTCACATAGACAGCCATATGAATTGTGTGTCAGGGTTTTGAACAATGAAACACATAGGGTTGATGTCGATTTGAAATACGACAGGTTCAATGGAAATAATGATTGACACTTGGTTGATCACACATGCAGCTAAAAATACAGGCTATGAATGGGAAACTTTTCTGTGTAAGCAATGAACTTAGGATTAATCTTCACTTGTCCGAGCGTGGCTGAAGTAGCAGGAACAGATGAGTCACCAAGGAAGGTGGAGGATCCACCCACACCCACTGAGGAGGATTAGTGGGAGATGATAATAAGAGATAGTGGAAGTTATGGGGTGAAGTAATGCCTGTAACCATCACCTGAGGACGAGGGGAATTCCCGAAAATTATGCAGGACCAAGGCAATGAAGATGACAGGAAGGGGGAAACACCGAATTCCCTAAGTACTGGTTTAGCTGAACATCAATAAATACGAATACCCTGAAGCGAGTGTGAGAAAGAGAGAGAGAGTTCCAGCCCCTGGATGCGAGACACCCCACATGATTACCTGCTGATGAGAACTTCTGACATCAGCCTTGTGCTGAACTTTTCCAAATCAGCAAAACAAACTTTACCAAATCAACAAAAGAGTTACATCTGAGTTAGAAGCAAGTTGGGCCAATAATTGTTTGCATGCAAACTCTTGGATTTGAAAACAATTAACCAATTACTGTACAAATGACTTGATATAAAAACAGTATTTTGTTTTTTTTTTAATTTATTCGAGTGTTATTTTCTTTCTTTGCATCTTTGCCATGCTTGAACCAGCTCAATATGAAGATACCGGACGATGATTCGATGTTGGTCGCCTTATGATCAAAGCAAATCACAATGTGGGATAGGGCAGGACCTAGATCAATCACCTCATTGGTCAGCCACGATGTTGGACTTAGATGACCAGGGAGGGTGTAGGGTGACAATGTTGTTCTACAGAAAGATGCTGAGAATACCATGGACAGAACATGTGCGCAATGACAAATTTTTAAAGAAAATGGAAACAAAAAGGATACATATACTTATCAGGAAGAGATGGTTGAAATTTCTCAGGCACATAATGAGGAAAGAGGGCTTGATACTTGCAGGACAGATTGAAAACAAGTGGAATAGAGGAAAACAACATAATTTACCTAGTGAGCTCGAGTAAATGGATGACAGAACAAGGTTTAGGCAAGATAACAAAGACAAAACTAAGAGCTACAACAGATAGGAAATAGTGGGGAGCCATGTTCAGCTATGCCCTGAAGGGATATGGCACATAGAAGTAGTAGTAGGTCTCCCCATATATTAAGGCATATTAGGCTATATCTGTCTCCAATTTCATATGGAATTTATTAATTGAAGATTTATTTGTAGCATTATTTAAATGTCAACTATTGTCATCTTTGTTGTTATTATCACAATACTTTGGTTGTTGTGCCCTCTGGCCTTCATCAGGTGCTTGCTGATCTGGCTAACCTTCAGGGAATTTATTTAATCTCCAGACCATGTCTAGGAATATTTTGTCTAATTCTTATTTAGTACTGCTCAGTTATTGTTCATTCCATTTCCACTGAGTCCAAGAAGTGAATTACTATACCAACAAATTAAAGAACGAACACTTTGATCCATTAGGTTATTGTTCCATGGGAGACGACTGTGCAAGACATGGCAGCAAAGCTGAAACAGCAGTAGAAGAGAGAACTTTGATGAATGCAGTCAAGCATGACAAGTAGCAGCAGTTTTCTCAGCAAGAAAATTTGGTTTAACTCAGCCCCCTCCATTTATTAACCAGATTTGGGACTAGTTATGATAACTGCCAAACGGTGCATTCTTTTTATTCTCTCATAGTTACCTTCTCTTAGCCTGACAACATTACAGGGATAAAGAGGTCTAATTGCCCTTCTAGAGTCACTGAAACTAGAGGGTTACTGAATGAGGTTGTTTTAGGGGCCTACAAGGAGGGGATAAGAGGTGCATATTATGAGAATATGTAGGATAGATAACAGTTGACCCCTAGACTATGAAGTTAAGATTGTAGGTATTGTGGAAGTGTCATTTCAGGTGTCTTTTGTATAACATAATAGTTCTTTGGAAGACTATAAGGTTGCTACTCTATTGCTATTTCCATGGCAAATGTTCAAATCAGCTTCATTCTTTAGTTCAAGTTCAGACTTTTACAGTCAAGACTAGAAAGAGAGGATTTTTCCAGCCCAGTTGAATCACCCATTTTTTGGTTTGATTTTCCAGGAAGAAAAGAAAATTCCATTAGCATTCCCAAGAATAGAAAATGGAACAAGCAAACTTTTGTTTGTTTTTGAAAATCTTAACATTTGTTTGTTTTTTGTTTTTGTTTTTTAAATACAAAATGCACCAATATAATTCTCAAGAGCCACTCAAGATAGAGAGTTCCAGTCAAAACTAATGATGAATGAGGTGTGTGCTATTTAAAAAAAAAAGAAAAACAAAGGAAAATCAAATTTTGAGGATAAACAAAACAATTGTTCCATTGACTTGCCAGTGAATGTTAAGATTTTCAGAGACAAATCTACAAAGGTATTGTCTGGGCACAAGTTGTAACTATTCTTGACAGGTTCAAAAACTGCTTTGAATGGAATTTTCTTTTTATCTTTGGAACAGATGGAATATTGGGCTATTCTATTACTATTTATATTGGAAGATATTCATTTTAGTTTGACCAGTTCAAAAGTCTGAACTGCCATATGAACTAAAAGAATGATGCATCTTCATTCATTTGTATGGAAATAGCAAAAGAGGTTGTTTCAACTCAGTTTCTTCTTCCAAAGAACTATTATGTTATACAAAAGACACCTGAAATGACACTTCCACAATACCTACAATCTTAACTTCATAGTCTAGGGTCAACTGTTATCTATCCTACACATATTCTCATAATACCTCTTTATCCCTCCTTGTAGGCCCCTAAAACAATCTCATTCAGTAACCATCTAGTTTCAGTGACTCTTGAGTTTTTGTATTTGGTGAACAATAGTATAAAAAAATCTGCAGCTCTAATATGTAGAGAAGAAAATAATGAATTGTTAATTGTAATCCTAATCAAATATTGATTTTAATAGATTATTTTTTCTGAATTAACTTTAATATTTATGTAACAAAAAATAAGCCAAAAGGATACTTCTTAGGCCTATGTGATATGATTTCTCATCATTTTTCTTCTTCTATTTGTTATATCAATTCAGGATGTTGGCTCTGCATAATTCCCTGCCTTCTGTAGCTCTTAATAAATATAGTCCTTTTGTTATCTCTCCTGAACCTTGTTCTGCCATCCAGTTTCTCAAGTTCATTGGTAGGTTAGGCGTTGTTTTTCTTTGTTCTCTTTGTCCTTATAAAAGCTTAAAAAATAATTAAAAATGCAATTACAAATCCATAATACATGTACCACATTCATCTGAATGTTGGTGTATCGTGGAAATAGAATCATCTGATTGGTACATTAATGAACAATTTCTCTGTCCTTACAGATTACACCTGATGAAGGCTATATATATATATATATATATATATATATATATATATATATATATATATATAAAACTGGATTTGTTTATTGCTTATGTAGTTTTCTCCATGTGTATTTAGTTAAGATGTTGTGGAGATGAAGATCATTTATTATTTTGTTTGCTTTATCAAAAAGTATTATTAATTCTTGTTCTTCCAACTCATACATAAATGATTTCAGGAATTTGTGCACAAAAAGAGGAAATATATGATGTGAAGCTTTGTGTAATCTATGTGAAATTTGAGGAATAACTTTTTCTTCAATGCAATTTTTAAGAAAGTTTTTTTTCTTTTTCTACAGCAATGTGCAGATATTAATAGTCATTTGCATCTTATAATTAAGAGTATGCATATGCTTTTGTTTTTCATGATGATAAAGTATAAAAACTCAAATATAACTAAAACTATATCTGTAAAAGGACAATATGAATAAAAACAGAAGAAAAAACTTATTTTAGCCAATGCATTTCGTCCTATGATGGACTTTATCAATGTAAATGTTAGGACTTTATTTTGCAAGTATTTATACACAGACGTAAAAATGTTGTTAGTTTTTAAGAAATGTTAAATTTACAAACACTCATAAATATACTGAAATTCAAGGTAAATTATGGAGGATGCTAAGTGATAGAATTTAATAAGTTTTCCTTTTGTCTTATTACTTATGAATCAAACATTTTTTTATTAATGTTCTTACTGTTTTATTTTAACTTTATTATTTTATATTATTAGAGTTGAGTGACATTTGGGCTACCATATATGAGTAAGCACATTATTTCTAATAAAATGATTCTACTATAATGAAGGAAAATCTAAGATACTACACTTTGATCATCAACTACAACAATTTTAACAATAGCTAGCTATATATCAAATGTTCATATCCTGTATTTAATATATAAATGAAGTAGTAATTATTTAATTTTATTTGAGCTGATTATTTTTTCATTAATTTCATGCAAATTAGATATTTTTCCAATAAAAAAAAGCATTTAAAAATTAAATTAAAAAAGCAATCACATAACATTCTTTTTTTAACCCACAATAAAAGTGTTTGTCATATGTCAAAGTGAGATATTACAAAGGGTAGCAGATTTTAAAGAATATCCCCAGGGAGAATCAATCTTTTGTAGTTGACACCAGACAAAACAAATCTAATAACACATGAATTCAATGAACCAACAGTTTACATGTTTTATTTTGTTTAGTTTTTAGCTAAAATAATAGTTTTTTTTTGTTTTGTTTTAATCATTATCATCATCATAATCATCATCGTCATTATTATTATTTGTATTCTTTGAGTTTGGTTTAAGTTAGAACTGGTGATTTTTCACTGAAGTCCAAGTGATAAAAAATCTCAATATTCCAGGACACTCCTCAGTATTCTAGCTGATTTCTGTATAAACAACATTTTCAGGAAGACATTTATTTTCTAAAGTGCTTTTTGTCATCATGCTAAGTCCATTTAAATTTCCTGTTCTGGGCATAGCCACAAAGAATTGATCATGTGAGAAACATTTTAATAATTTTCTAATGTTTATATTACTAATATTATTATTATTATTAATAATAATAGTAGTAATAATAATAATAATAATACTGAAAGAAGAGAACCATTTCTGAAAAGAAAAAGAAAAGTCAATGTTTAACAATATTTCAACAGTATGTCTGCCTTCTTCAAGTTATGTGTAAAAGTTTCATACAAGTATAAAAATATAAAAATAATTTTTTTTTTACAAGTGTTGCTTGTCTTGACAAAAACAGTTGTACTGGTAATCAAGGTGACAAAGAGACTGAAATGCAGCCAGCATGAATAGAATGCAACCGAAACGTGAGTAACATGATGGGGAACATACTCATCTTGTAATTTTCTGTCAGTTGATTGGCTAGTAAGTGCAATTAATCAAAGTGGCGTCTCGCGGTCTTTGACTGCGCACGCCTCCTGTCGAACTCTCTGCGTTAGCAGAGAGGAACCCGGACGAGGCT